CCTCCTCGGCGCTCCAGCCGCTCTCGGTGGTGGACGAGGCGTGGGAGCTCCTGGACCCGAGCCCCGACGTGCACGGGCTCTTCGTGCAGTTCAACGAGGCGCTCTTCTGGGGGCGCCTCACGGCCGTGGCGGTATCGTGGAGCCCGCGCATGACGCTGTACGGCAGCGGTGGCGGTGGGTCTGGTGCCACCTCGGGTGCCGGCGGGCTTGCAGGGACGGCCACGGTCCAGGCCTCGCTCTGACTCAGGGAGTAAGCAGTGACCCTGCTTACTGCTGCAGTCCTGGGTACTGCAGTATCCTGGCACAGGCCGTGCGTCTGCTCAGGGTGCCCTTCTGTTCTGTCCCTGTCTATTTTGCCCTTAGCTTGTAAGCTCTGGCAGCCGTAAATGGCTTTCTCGATGTGCTGCCAGAATTGTTGCCCTGGAATAAGTAAATTGATCTTAAATTACATTTTTTTTAAAAAAAATACATAAGCATACTTATTTTGCTGTTATCTTAGTTGCTATTCTCAATTTCCTTGATGCCCTTACAGCCTAGCAGAAAGGCCAACGTGAAGTGGTAATAGCATATTAACAAGGCTTAGATTAGACATAGGCAAATACGTAATAAATCTGAGATGCTAAAAAGAAGTTGCAGTTGTGCAGCAGGTCAGCTGGTAGGGTTGCAGGATGTTGAAGTCCTTCCCCTTCTTGTCCTTCTTTTTGTGGGCATTTGGAAATACTCAAATATGTTATGCTTACAGAGAGCTAATCCAACAACAGAAGATGTTTTATGCAGTATTGCTGTGGTGAAGTGACTGTGTAAAGGTCCGGTGAGAATCAAACCCGGGGGAGGGCATCAGCTAAGGGTAGAACCACAGCAGCCAGTTGGGTCAGAGCTGACTGCTGCTTAACAGCTTTGTTTTTCACTCTATCTGGTTTCTTAGTGAAAACATTAATTTGCCTACTGAACAAACAAGTCTGGAATGTTCTGTGGTGATTTTCAGGATTGTTACCTTTGAAGCTTAGAATTAAGTGATTATAAAAGATGTAATAAGTTGTAGTTGAATGTCTGAGCATATCCTGAATATTTTGCCTTTTTTTCTTTGTTAATGAGAGTGAGTTGTTGAGTTCTTCGAGTAGCTTCTAACAACCTTTCTAATTCAGCTTATTTAACATGTAGGTAAGGGGTCAGCATTTCAACTCCAAATCTTTTTTTTTTATATGTTACAGAAACCAGTAACTCTTGCATTCTGTTTCTGCATCTCTTTCAGCTGTGCTGGAGTGTGTAGCTATGAAGGAAAAGGTGGAATGTGTTCCATTCGACTAAGCGAGCCACTCCTGAAGTTAAGACCAAGGAAGGATCTTGTCGAGGTATTTGAAGATTGTTCATGAATATGGACATAAAATTAATTAAACTTTCCCCACTCCCACTCCACACCCCCAATTTTACATTTTTCTGTTAAAAAAAAAAAAAAGTTCTTTACTTGTATTCTTATGAAGGTTGTAGGTTGAAAAATAGCAGTGGTTTTATTGCAGTTTTCTCTTGCTTATGTGGATAACACTAAAGTATCCTCAGTTGCATGTTTTTAGATGGGCAATTCTAGAGTAGGAGTCTACAATTACTTGTTTATTTTATTGACTTTGTAAAGGAGGATAAGACTTTTTTTCAGCTCCTAAGCTATCTTGCAATATCAAAACCACAGTGCCAGAAAGTACAACCAGAAAATGGCTTTATTTTCACTTTTCAGGTTAACAGAAAATGAGGGCTAGAATATGACTGTGAACATAGCTTTGCGTTGCTTTTCATGCCTTTGCTTGTATGAGGTGGCTCAATGTTTGGATTTGTTTAATGAAGGGAAATGCTGGAGTATTTCTGCATTCTTCTCCAAAGCATCTCTTTTGTTTGGCGGGGAAGGATGATCCTTTTGAAGATCTGATTTGAGTTTGGGGATTATTTTCATGTGTTAAAATAACATCTTTTAGCGTGTTTAGGTTGTACGGAAATAGTTGATATGGTTTGGCAGATAGAATAAGTACTATGTTTCTATGACTCAGATTTGACAAGTGAATATATGAGAATAAGATTAGCACTAAAATGAATGTAAAGTAGGACAGATTAAAAAAATTCTCAGCATAATTTAAAAATCCTGTGCAGTGCTTTTCAGTAAATGGCTGATAATTGGCCTTGTTTCAGACACTATTACATGAAATGATCCATGCCTTGCTGTTTGTTACTAACAACGACAGAGACCGTGAGTCTCACGGGCCGGAGTTCTGCAAGCACATGCGGCGCATCAACCGCCTCACGGGAGCCAACGTCACGGTGAGCAGAACCTACATCGTGGTGTGTGATGCAGCCTTCTTCATACTTTCATGCCATGCATTGGAATATTTCAAATGTGGTACGATTAATACTAGGGAGGGTTCAGCGTAGGGCAACGAAGGTGATTAAGGGACTGGAGCATCTATTTTATGAGGAAAGACTAAGGGAGCTGGGCCTGTTTAGCCTGGAGAAGATAAGATTGAGAGGGGGTCTGATCAATATGTGCAGATATCTGAGAGGTGGGTGTAAAGAGGAGAGGGCCAAACTCTTCTCAGTGGTGGCCAGTGACAGGACAAAGTGTAATGGGTACAAGCTGAAACACAGGAAGTTCCATCTCCATGTGCAGAAGAACTTCTTTCCTGTGAGGGTGACACAGCCCTGGAGCAGGCTGCCCAGAGAGGTTGTGGAGGCTCCTTCTCTGGAGATCTTCCAAACCTGCCTGGATGTCGCCCTGTGGCACATGCTCTAGGTCTCCCTGCTGAAGCAGGGGGGTTGGACTAGATGATCCCAACCTCAACCTTGTATTTCTTAGTAGACACTCCACAATAGGCACAAATACCCGCTTTCCTCAAACTGCTTACGGGTTCAGTAGTTATTTTGTTGATGATAGTGTAGGTTGGAATATGTTAAAGATGTGTGAGGTTATTAAAATCATATAATTCTCATATATCCCCCTGAAAGCATTTTCCCTAAAAGTTTCTTTTAAACTTGAAGTAATTTAATGAATTCAGAGGGCAGAAGTTCAGAATAATCATTTTCACTTAAGATTTGTCTCAGTGGGGCCTGATGGGTGGATGAACATTGTCTTTGAAGTTCATGTTTTTGACAAGATGAGTTAAAATGAAGTGAAATTTTATTTAGTTACACTGTTTTGCTGCTCTTTCAGTTTATTTTTAAAATCATGTATACCGCGCATTCTAAAGAGCACATAATGTAAAAGTCATGAAGATTTATCTTGGAGATTAAAATGCCAAACTAGGGTATGGAGAAAGGGTGAGGCTGTTTCTCACAGTAGCGCTAAAAAAAATGGTCAGAGAGAGATAAGCTTGGGAATGATGTGCTTCCCAAATGGCAGGTCATTTGTCAGCCTTCAGGTTTACTGAATATAGTAAACTTAGTATATACTAGTATAATAGCATATAGTAGTAAGTATAATAGTGTATACTTACTAGTATAGTAATATACTAGCATCATGCTAGTATGCCAATATTATAATAGTATAATAAATTGCATTTATTCTGGGAGTAAGACAACACTGAGAAAGGTTTGTTGTAGTCCATCAACCCATTAGCAGGCATTTTTTTCCATCTTTAGGTTTTAGGACTTTAGGTTTGTTGACCTGTACTGCAAAGGATTGGAGTGCTGTTGGGTTTTTTTTGTTTGTTTATTTTATGATGTAGAGTCAGTGATAAACCTCAAGACTTACAAAAGCAGACATTTTCTGAATTACTTTTTTTTTTTAAACACAGATTTATCATAATTTTCATGATGAGGTGGATTTATATCGCCAGCATTGGTGGCGATGCAATGGCCCCTGTCAAAACAGAAAACCTTATTTTGGGTATGTGAAACGCTCAATGAACAGAGCACCATCTAAGCGAGACTTTTGGTGGGCTGAGCATCAGGAGACGTGTGGAGGTACATTCACGAAAATCAAGGAACCAGAAAACTTTACCAAGAAAGGCAAGGAGAAAACCCAGCCAGCAGAACTTTCAAATTCCAAATCAGCTAACAAAGGTATCTGACATACTTCTTTTTTTCCTTTTTCAAACAGTTCTTGACCAAACATTACCTTGAACAAATAGAGATCAACCACTGCATGAGCTATGTTATTAGATATTATTATAATGTAACAAAGATCAGGACCCCTTTTATTTGTGTCTTTTTCTCTAGGCTTCTTTCTAGCTTATTTGTTTGCAAAGGGTTTATTCTGCTGTTTCAAAACTGTAACAGAAATGTTCAGATAAAGCACAAAATATTGAGCCCGTAGTTTATGTATGAAAAGGTTATTCACTTTTTATTTTGCAGGCAAGATACATACAGGTAATGCACAAAATGTGATCCCTTTCCATGGAAAGGGGTATCTGCTTGGAGGAGGAGACAGTGGACACTCAGAGAAAAATGTAGGTTCCATCAGCGTTGTTAAAAATGGAGAGACACTCAGCTCACAGCATCATGAGGTAAGAAGTACAATACCAGTCCCTAAAAATGAGATAAAATTTGAAAACTCGCCCCGTCGTGGCACCTTCTTTCCACTGTGTGCTGATGATGCCGGAGAGAAAATTAACTTTGCTTCCAAGCGTGAGTTCCCCAAGCTCTCTGTTGCTGACACAAAAGCTTACAAGAATGTTAATGGATCGCCTGTTAAAATCGCTCGTGTTACAGAAGAAAAATCAGATCAAGGTCTTAGAAAAGGGAAGAGGGTTTCACCATGGCATAGCAGGAAACCTAAACAAACCTGTTTTGAGCAAACTACAACAGGTCCGGTTGTATCCAACAAAAAAGGAAGTTTGGAATGTACTAGTACACTGCAGCAATGGCCACAGGTGGAAGACAAAGCTGCCTTTGAAAACTATTTTGTAAAAAAAGAGCTCACTGATGTCACTTTAAGTATAAACACAACTGTGAAAACCGAAGCTGAATCTACAGTGTCCTCTGCAAGTTCCAGCGCTGCTGTAAGGCCGGATAAAAAAGTCAGTTGCCCTGTGTGCCAGTCGGAGGTTTTGGAGTCTAAAATAAATGAACACCTAGATTCTTGTCTTGCCTAGAGACTTCTGGATGGCAGCCTCAGAAAAATAACCCAGGGCTGGAACTGTTGCTTGAACTACTCTGTGCAGGGCTTGTTCAATTATGCCGCTTTTCCCTTGTGTCTGTCCCAAACAGGAATTTAAATTATTGTCAACATTCAGAACAATAATGGCAATTTGAATTTTGTGGAGCCAAACTTTAGAACTGACTAGGAATCTAGTTGCTCTTTGTGTTCCAACGAACCTAATGCTCATGTTTCATGAGGTGGATGTTTCTGCTAACATTTTCGTGCAGAACCCAGGTATTACAAGAGAAGTTGCTAAACTGCATTTTCACAAGACAAAAAGAATATTTTAAAAAATGAGACTTTTTAATTATGCTAACTTACATTTCTTAAAACCCCGGGACATTTTTAATGTATTTTTGCCATTCTTAAATGTAACCACCTATAATGGAAGATTTTTTTTTCCTAATTATATCAGTATAGTTAAGTAGTGGGTATTTTTAGAACAGCGAATATTTTACGTAAGCCACAACTATGCTTTCATGTGGTCATTTTCACTCATGACCCTTTTTGAAAATATATATGCAAGGAAAACATAGCAAAATGTCCATTTAGATTTAATAGATGGATAGGAAATGAAAAGAAAATCCAGAAAAGAAATGAAACTTTGGAGAAATCAAGTGCAAGTTACTTGGATGGGCAAAGAAGCTCTATGCTTAGACTCGATTTAAAAAGAAGTAAACATTTTGAGCTTGTTTTAAAAGCTTGGAGTGGTCACAGGAACACTAATAATCTTCAGTCTTATGTGTGTCCTTGGGTCAGTTAATCAGTGTCTGGCTAGGTCCTCTGTCCTCTTTTTAGTGTTTTGTACAAACTCTGCCTGCACTGCAAGTTCACTAGTTCTCAGGATAAAGGTATTATGTACATGAGTAACTGATTTCCGTGGGCACACACTGGTAAGCAAAAGCTCTGAAAAATATTTGTAGCAAAACTGGGAAAGACTGTTTCTGGCCTTGCCGTAAAAATCTTAACCGTTTTTCAGTCCCAGTTGGAATTTCAAGTGCTTAACAGCTTGAAATGGCGTTAGGCTGACCTCAGCTGGCAGTTTCTGTTGCAGCTTCCATACGCCAGTCAGAGTGGTGTTGAATACCAAAATCGTCGTGCAGTAAGAGGTGATGAATGCGCAGCAGATGTGATTGCAATATAAACTTGTAAAACATTTACAGTTCTCTTGTTGCACTGAAATTATTTAACTGGCTAAGCAGACAACTTTATTGATTGTAAACTTGTAAAACTGGTCATAAATGTTTTTGATGAAAGGAGAAGTAGTAGTTAGTGTTTCATATAATATTGTTGCAATGTTTAATTGGCTATATTAGCCATAAGTGCACATATTTTTGCCTTTGTATAGAGTTATCTGCAGTGCACTTTGGAGAGTGGAAATAAGCTGGGTACAGTGGAACTTGACAAGTGATACTTAACGTTGGCCTTAGGATCTTAAAAAAAAAACCCTAAGAATACATTAGCTCTTTTTTTCTGAATATGATGTATTTTTCTAAATATTGACACTACTACAGTTTAACTTGGATTGGAATGTTCTTGCATATTCTAAATAAATTGGTTAATTTTAAATTTTCATTAAGTCTGTGGGGGTTTTTTACATGCTGGTGCACACATTCTGTGTTACTCATCAGTGGGCTTTTACATATATATATATATATATATATAATCTCCAAAATCAAGCATTGCAGATGTTGGTCCAGTACAGTTAATACCTGGCAGTGTGTTTTGTTTTGTTTTTTGCTTTTTTTTTTCCTGTGAATATTCCTTTCTACTGCAAGTGCAGCTTGGCAGATGAAACAGTAGCTCCTTTTTCTTTTTTCTTTTTTTTCTCTAGTTTGAAGATGGGTGAATAATACAAAAAGCATCTTTTTCTCTGGTATATACAAAAAACAAATCCAACTTGTGGTGTGCTGAAAAACAAGGCGGTTTAGATCAACTTGGCATCCAGCCAGTTGTGCAGGAGGAGGAGGCCAGAGGTGGCTCTGTACAACCTTCACCTTGGGCCTTCATTGGCCTGGGAGGTAGAGAGGTGGCAGCGCGAGGAAGTGGTACTGGGCTGTAGGTGTGAAAGCTAAAGCAGAAGAAGCCTGTGGCCTTAATCCCCATTTGCTTTTTAGCTTCTTCCAGGCCAGACTGCCTTAAGGCTAGATTAAGTGTCTTAAGAAGGTGCAGCAGCTTGGCCTGAAAAATCTCACCCTGTCTCTGCCCCAATGTCCCCTATCATCCATCGCTTCTTTATTCCTGCCTTTTGTCCTTAGACAAAAACAAGTCCCCCTCCCCAAAAGAAAGCTAAATATTTGACTTTACCAATACCTAATTTAGAAACAGTAAATACTGTTTTTTCATCACTTTCTGGACTATAACTTGTGTATTTACTACACCTACCCTGTCTTAGAAGATCTGTCAGTTGTCACACAAAGTCTGGTGTAAGACGAGGTCAGTGAAATCCCAATACAGCATCTTGAACATTGTAATCTGGTTTAGTTTGGGTTTAAGCTGCACCTCGAAGCTTCATTCAGCAGTTTTCACATTCTAAGGGGAGGGGGGACAGGGAAAGAAGAGGTCGAGTCGCTGGGAAGAACAGCGTCTGGCCTGCCTGCTCCTATTCCGCTATCTCCCTATTACTCTTCTCCCACATCTTTGCCTTCGTGCTCGTTTCTCCTGATCTGTTCTCAGCAGTGTCCCAGTAATTACGTATCCGCAGGGACCCATTTGGTGGGCCCGCTGTTCCCATTTTGCAATTTTTTTGAGAGCATGTGAATATTGCTCCGAGAGTGAGACACAAGGCAAGAAGTACTGAATGTTAGTAACGAGGTGTCCTAACCGCGTGCGTGCTCTGGTACAAAGCAGTGGACGGGTCTTCGCTGCAGGCAGCGCCGCTGGCTTGCACAGAGCCACGTTCTGTGTGGCGCCGCAGGCACCCGTGTCCTGGAGCTGCCACCCGTTGCGTATCTCACCAGGTCACCTATGCTCCTGTGAAAGGGGGGACTAAACAAACACCTTCAAATACAAAGACTCATAGAGAAAGGCAAATGCCGGGGCCTCTCCTCACAGGCACTGTGTTTGCAAAGGTGCAGGTTCTTCTCGTAGAGGTGCAACACGCTCCCCTTGCTCCGGGAGCCTCCTGCAGCCTGCCGTGACCATCTGTCCCAATTTCCTGCAGGCCGGATATTAGCCATTTTGCCCAGCTTGAGCCCAATACTGCTCAGGAGGAACAAATATCCTCCCCTGCCCCGGGGCAGTTTGTAACTTTGGCAATTCAGGAGCGCCTGCTTTGGGAGCGCAGCGTGCCTCGTTTCGCTGCTCGGGCCTGGTTAACGTGTAGCTCAGCACACACCTGATATTTTACAGGCATCACTCGTAAGGCTCTTAGGGGCAGCGCTATTTATAGTGCGTTGCAATCTCACACGAGCTGCTTTTTAACTAACAGCATGGCAAGCTCCCTGGTATGTGGAAGCACTGCGCAGTTTGGCATGGGCTGCCGCAGATAACACGGCGAAGGAGGGGTGTGATACAAAGTCTGCGCCGTTCGTACCAGGCTGGAGGGGAAGAGTACTCCTAAGGACAAGAGGCGACATAAGGACACCAAGGGCCAGAGCGGGGAGAGCAACTTCAGCACGTTGTGTCCTCAAGCCTCCTGCCCTGCTGAGGAGGGTGGGAGGCGGGAAGCACCCCCGGCCTGCGGGCACCAAGCCAGCCCAGCGGCATGGGCAGCAACCACCACCTCTGAAGCTTTCGAAGCTCCTGTCCTCTGCGGGATTCACCTCTGTCAATTATTTGGGTTACTCCTTAGGTTTGAGACTAACAGCACCTGTGCAGGAAATTTCCGTTTCAACATAAGGCAAAACTGCAGGGAGGATGGTTGGGCACCGCAGCGGGTTGCCCATTAAGGTTGTAGAGTCTCCATCCTTGGTGATATTCAAAACCCAACTGATCGCAGCTCTGAGCAGCCTGCTCTAACTGAACCTGCTCTATGCAGGGAGATTGGACCCAAAGATCTCCGGCGGGCCACTCTGCGGTTCTGCTTGACAGCCCCACGAGCACCTCAGTACAGGGGGAAACTGTGAGCAAAGGTAGTTGGGGTCAACCTTGTTGACTTTGCACTGCAACAGCCTAGGAGCTCTCTCACCATCTCTAGCCATCAGGTTTTTTTTCCAACTGTTTCTTCCTCTCGCTGGGACTGTGGAGGAGGGCCAGCTCTGTCATCCCAAATGGGAACTTCAGGCAGGAGCGCAGCGTGGGCCACTACCAGAACAGCCTCCCCAAACACGTGTAAAGCGAAGCCCTGCTCTGTCGTGCTCACAGGCAACTGGGTCACCATCTGGAAAGCCGGTTTTCAGTTGTTGGTGCCTCGCTGAGCTGTGCGGGGAAGTGGCAGGATTAGCCGAACCACAGAGTTAAAGCTCAGCCGTAATTAACTTTGAACCTGAGCTGTAAGACACTTAGAAGGTAGGAAAAGCATCCGATGACACAGGAAATAATAGGTGTTTAAGGCACTGTGAATCCCCGAAGGACTGTTAAGCTCTGTGGTAACACTGCCTGGGCAATTTTATCAGAGTAAAGAGACCAAGAGGTTTTATTGGCAACATCTGGGGTTGACACTTGACTCATGAAATGCAGAGAGTTATACAGCGGGGAATCCCAGCCCCTGGTGTAGTCTACGTGTGGTTGTGGGCACCAGTTTTTATACTGAAGTGACGCTGTTTTCTAGAGATTTACAAAAGGATGTTTCACTTGTGGATCCTGCACCAGGTTCCCATCTCCTTGTGTCTGCTCCCTTCCTTTCTTCAGGGGAGAGACTTCCTAGGCTTCCTGTGAAATTGCTCCTGGGCTGCTCTGACATGGGTCCCGGCCTGGTTAAGTCAATGAAACTGAGAGCCGGTCATACCGCCCACCACCTCAACTGCCGTCCGACCGGGGCCCTCCCGTGTCAGCTCGTCCGGAGAGGGCCACATGCAGCCACTCGAGGTGAACGAACGCTGTTTCCACGGGCGAGCGGCAGCAGCCCCGAGCCTTGGCCAGACCG